AGACCTCACCACTTGTGTTTTTGCTTCGTGATCTGCTTCTGCCGGGATTGAAGTCTGTGTCTGGAGCAACCTGGAGGATGCTGCTCTGTGTCAGTGGAGCTGAATCGTCAGCATTGGGTAGAAACAAGTGGGGCAGAGCAGGCAATGTTGCTCAGAAAGAGCATGAAGAACCCTGCTTTGTACAGTACCTGGCACTCTGTGGGTGCTTAAAGAACAACGGGACTTTTCATTTGAAGCACACTTGGCTTTTTTTAAATAAAATTTTTTATTTCTTTAACTTACTGTTTATTGAACCAAACCTGTTTTTTGAAATTTGGAGGAACAAGCAAAGCTTAAACTCATTGGATTACAGATAGAAAAAGTGGGGTACCATATATAAGCAAATGAACAACCCTCCTCTATCCCCAACAAACCAGACTGTCTTGGAACAGTACTTTAAAATTATTTCGAAATGAACTCCTCATTCAGAATGCCTTTTGAATAGGGACAGAACAGCAACGTTTACCGTATTTCACTTTTGTGTTTTATAATATACAGAATAAAGCCGTTTTAGGAACTATAGTTTATAATTATTTTTAAATTATTATTTTGAATCCATTAAGATTTGAGTAGCTCTGTTCATGTTTTTACATGAGTTACTTATCTTCATTTTTTTTTTAATTTATTTTATGTGCATTGGTGTGAGGGTGTTAGATGCCCTGGCAGTCAAGTTACAGACAGTTGTGAGCTGCCATGTGGGTGCTGGGAATTGAAACCCAGTCCTCTGGAAGAGCAGCCAATGCTCTTAACCACTGAGCCATCTTATCTTCATTTTAAGTAAGTATTTGACTACCTATTACATGTTTCAATCCTGGGTAGGGACGCTATAAATGAAATTGGTTTTGGTCACCATTGCTAGTGTGCAGCCAAAAAATAAGCACGCCAGCAAGCGAGGCTGCCTCAGTATGGAACCGTGTGCCCTCTGTGGGTCCTGTTTCCCCCTCACTGGTTACGTTTCGATTCTGTTTGAGCATAGTTACTTATTCTTGGGTGCTTGTTTCAGTAGCATGTAATTGTGCCTGTGTCTGAGTTCTACCCTTCTTGTTAATGGAAACACTGTGCTGTTAACACATAGGCCAAAGGCATGGTATCAGAAGCAGGTGAGGGCTCACATCGTGATCTGGAAGTGAGAGTGCACATACACCTTTGAAACCTGGAAGCTGGTCCCCAGGGGCACACCCCCATCCTGGCACACCTCCTAGTCCTTCCCCAATAGTTCCACTACTGGGGACCAAGCATTCAAACATGAGCGTAAGGGAGCCATTCTTGTCCACTTCTTCAGTTTGTGAAGGGCATTAGCACCAAAGGATGAGTGCAACATTAACACGAGTTGTTAAATGGCAAGGGATTGTAGAGACTGGTAGACAAACCCGGAGATTACACACTTTTTAAAAGCTAGTTTATTTGAGACATAATTCATATCCTTGACTGACCTCAAATGCTGTATATCCAAGGCTGGCCTTAAGTGCAGGGAATATAGAGTGCACTACCCTGCTCAGTGTAATTTCTCTTTTTACCTTATGTACACAATTTAGTCGTTAAACATCCATTTCTCTATCTCACTCTTGTTATGCCTATGTTCTGGGTTTTTGTTGGAATATTCCAGTTCAAGTCAAATTCAAATTGACCTCACTTCCTGAACTTTTGAATACTGAGGAGATTTACATGATGGATTCACAGTCCTGGCACACCATTCAGTTATTAAAAATAAGCACTTTTAAATCACATTTAAAAAAAATTCAATAGTGGGTCACTAGCCCAACCTGTTCCCTAGACAGAACCAGAAAGGCCCTCTAATGAAATGGTGATGAGCAAGTACAGCCCCCTAGTGGTTCTGTTATGTTACACTGAAGTTTGGTGACATTTGAGCCTTGCTTTGAAGTGTGACTGATGGAAAATTCTATTTTAATGTTAAAAAGTAATGGAGATACCCCTTTGCCCTAGGAATGCGTGTTCATACAAGGTTTTTATATGTGTTTGTGCAGTACATAAAGACATACTGATTACTCATAGTAGATCTCATTTTTGTTTGAAAGGAAAAAGTCAGACAAACCTAATTCTAAGGATATAATTTTATATGACTAGATATATAAACAAAAAGGCATGAGGATCGCACCAGGCAATATTGATACCTTTCATGGAGAGATTGGGAAGTCTGGGAGTCAGTAATATATTCAAATTTTTAGGAAAAGTAAACACAAAGGGACCTGAGGTGAAGAAACTCAGCTGGCCCTGTAGCAGTTCAAAATTTAGTACAAAAATTTAGTCCTTTCTGAATAGCTAACGAAGATGAGGGTACTGCTTAATTTTAGTTGGAACAAGTTAAGTCGGCTCCCAACTGCTTTTCTAAATTGGGTTTGTTTGTTTCTGTTTTTGTTTGTTTAAATAGGGTGGTTTGCCTGGTAATCTGCTGTAAATATAAGACAGGAGTCTTAATTACTTAAGATGTGTGTGGTTGGGATTTCACTTTAAGAAGCTTTCCCCTTGTTCTAGGAATTAAAATCTTTTCCTCTTCAGCCCAATTAAGTGTGTTAATGGAGGGGCTCTTGTGAAAAAGCCTTTCTTTGAGGTCTAGAAGTGGAAATGATTTGTCCTGAAAGAACTTTCCTGACAGGCTGGTGAAGCTGATTGCCACCGCTCGAAGGCTGTTCCAAAGGTGGTCTGGACTCTCCAGAATGCTGAGCAACATTTTAGATGTAAACACTTCAGGCTCTAGGAATGAAGACAGTTCTGTCTTTTCAAAGACCGAACACAGCATCATTGCAGCTTACTTGATTATGGCAGGTATGGGTGTTTATTCAGTTACTTGCGTCTCAGATGGGAGAAAAGTGTTTGGTACAAGAATGTAGTTTGGGCTAGCTGGTAAACAGGACTGTAACAATCAGAGAAAATGGGAAGAATAAATGGAAGCAATGTAATGCTGCTTCCTGACATAGAGGATTCTGATAAATGAGAGCAAAGAGGGGCAAGAAAAGCCCTATAAGATGAAGTTTTAGAATAAAATTTGTCTATATATTTGGTTCTTACATTAACTGTAAGCATGAGCCGAGTGTGCACCATGGTAGAAGCATGCTTTATGTCAGTTACCATCCTCATGCATAATTTGTATTGTTTTCTTCTTGGTAGACTCTTAACTCAAGATTGAGAGGCACTTTAGAAGTTTGAAAAGGAAAGGGGGTGCAGATAAAGTATGTGAATTCAGTTCTTCCAGTGGGCAGTCAAGTGGGGGCTCTAGGAGGTAGTCTTCTCATCTCTTTGAAAGTACAAGATATTTCATCTTCTTACTCTCCCATCTTCTCATTTGTAAATGAAGACAATAAAGGTTCTGTCATGATTGTTATAAAGAGTATATATTAAGTGTTATCAAGGCACCTAAGACAGATGTTGGGTAAATACACGCTTGTTGATACAAAGATTAAGATAAAGGCTTGTTTGTAGAAAAGAGTGTGAGGGAAACGACAAATTCTATCAGTGGTGTGGCTTTTAAAATCATCAGTCACTTAATCTCAGGCAGTGGTGAGTTTTAGTAATTGTTATATTGTGCTCATTGCTTTTTGGATTGGCTTTTATGAAAAGTTTCAATCACGTTTCTAAAACAGACTGAAAGATACATATCTCTGTGTATCTACTTTATACAGCTGTCTAGTTTTTACCTCATAGTTGACTGGGCTCCAAATAACAATTTCCTTTTCATTTTGGTGGTATAGTGACTAATTTATCTGAATACTTCTGTGTGGTAAGAGTCAAAAAGTGGGCCCACACTTCTGGAATCCCATAGAAACACTATGTACAAGTTTTGGTTCATCTAATTGTTGTTAACAGGGAAAATCCAAAATTTGTCCGGTATTTTGGAGGCTGAAGCAGAATTGTTGAAGATTTCAGAGTCAAGGGCTACATAGTGAGACTGTCTCAAAGAGGGAAAAAATCTGTTCACAAGATAAGAGTGTGAAGGAAATTTCCTAAGAAAATCTTGTAGCTCCTTTTTAGTTTTGTCTCCCTAATTCATACTGGTAAAGAACTTGAGAAATTTTCCCAGCACACACTTGTGGCTACTTGGCTTTGAGCAGAGGTCTTTTTGTTAGCCCTCTTACTTACGTAACTACATAGGTCACTTTCATTAGGAAACATCAGAGCATGCAATCTTTGCTTATGTTTTTGGAGGGGAACTGAAGGAAACACATCTTACCTCTGGGCTTTTGTTCTGTGTATCAACTAAATATCTCTTGTTCTTCCCATCCCCTCATTTTCCACCTTTAACAAAAAACTACTTGAGCTCCCAGATAAGAATGATGACTGAGGAAAAGGGTGCATGCCCTTAAGTATCATTCCATTTGTTATTTTTTCCCATGGGCTATGTAAATGTTTTTACTGTAGAGTCTATTTATTGTGTGTATGTATTGAATTAATTTT